ATCACCCTAACATCCAACAAGAGGCCCTTGGAGCTCCCTTAGCAAAGACCACCTCTCCATTCAACTCTGTGCCTGGCTGCCCACTAATCATTTATTGCAAAGAAGTCTCATCGCTCCAGTAAGACAGCCCAAACTCCCTGTGGAGCTTAACCAACCAGCTGGTCCTCATTAAAACCCTCTGGACCTGAATCTCCCCCACCCTTCCTGGCCTCACCTTCACCCCTGCATTCCAGCAGCAGGCCCAGGGGATCAGAGCCCCAGAGGATCAGAGCTGTCCAGGCCACTCACTTCTCTTTACTCTCCTAAGAGCTGGATTGGCAGGTTCTTTTTTTTTTTTTTTAATTTTTTTATTTTATGGAAACCTCTTTTATTTATAAAGAATTATAAATAACAAGCGATTGTCTTGCCTAATCCTTTTAAACACCACTGAGACTGACAGGCTGGAGAATATTAGCTTCATTTTACAGGCACGACTGTAAACCCTGTTCCCATATGTAGTATAAGACAGTGTAGTATAAGCCCTAGACTTCCATACTCACAACTGCCTTTTTCCCTAGGCTTTGTGATACATCATTTTAAAGTAATTTGATTTCACAATGCTTTACGGGATGAATAACATCATCCTTGGCAGGTTAACTTCGAAGCCAACCAACCTAATTAATTACCTCATAACCTGGCATATTTTAAGGCACTGTTATACCTCTAAATCAATTTCATAGCTGTGTCTGAGGACCCCTTGAGCAAAAATTGCAGCAGAGCTGATCTGAAAGGACCAGGGAATACAATGGTCAATCACGTTTTCTAGTTTAATCTAGGCCTGGTACATCCTCACCAATTGCTCAGATGGCAAGCTGGGGCAACTAAGGGAAGGGAGCAGAGGGAAGGCCCACTTAGGGATGGACAGTGACAAAAAACACAAAACACAAGTGGTATCAATGTCCCCAGAAGCCTTTTTATTGCTCCGCTACATCTGTACCAGCAGGACAAAGGACAATAGTTCTGGAGTCCAGAATGTGCAAAGATCAATTAACCTACCTAATTGGGGCCTAAAAAGCCATATAGTGCTAATTGCACCCATGCCAAATCAAGAAAATCATTCATTCCTTCCTGATATGGGTTTTACAGAGATGGCTGATTTTCAGAGAAATCAGGAACTTCCATCCTGAAGCCCAGGGGGAAGGGTTGGGCATTTCCCAGAGTTATAGATGGTGCAGGAGAAACACAGTCTGCCCCATAAAAGGAAAGAGTTGTCTTGGTAAGCTTTTGTCTCCTACGGGACATGGAACTAGAGACTAGCAAGATCAGGGCCTGGGTGGTCTGAAAAGAACGACTTCCTCACATAAGGTACATAGGTCTCTGAGAAGGGTCTATGAACACCCTAAAACTGCAAGTAAAATTTTGAATATATGTATGTTTTCCTAGTGAAGGAGTCCTTCACTCTTAAATCCTGAGGTAGAAGAAAGGACTTAGAGCCAATTAAGCGTGAGAGCTCTCAAAGCCATTACTCAAAAGTTGAAACATGGACTCAGAAAAAAAGACAACTGAGCTGTTTTTGTGTTCTTGTTCCTAATTGTATTTCAAGTATTTTCAAGGCAAGGCCCCAGGGACTCCCAGATTCAGGTATGCCCCTGGACTTGGTCCGCTGCTGCAGGAGTCTTGGGGAGCCTTGTATACATGCTTGCATTATTTATTCACCAACACTGAACCCCAGGATAGAAAGATGTGACCAAGTGGGACTCCTTCCTGCATGACATATGTCGACTTCAGAGGCAGTGGCAGCCAATGTGGAGAACACCGTAGTTTTTCCTTGGAAATGAACTGTGATGAGAGGTGCCTGCCATGAACATAACCTTCTGACTTTTCCCTGACCCTTCCCTTCCAGTGTTTGAAGAAAGAGCCCCCAAATAATCATCTCTGAAGATACTTGATAACAATTCCAAAAACAAAAACATGTGCTTCCCATGCATTGGGCTTTCAGATATTCTGGGTCTAATTCAGCTGGTGGATAAGCTGATTGATGCATTCACCCTGATAACCAGGTAAGCCCATCTCCTTGAGGAAGCCTACTCCATTTTTGGTAGCGTGGTGACTCACTGAGAGCTGGAAAGGGTGCAAGAACCATGAAATCTGGAAATGCTTTCCAGGGAAGGCAGTTTCATGAATGAGGTCTTTCAAGCAAATGACACCAAACCTCCCCAGGTGGTTCTCAATCACTGGGTTGTCTGTCAGAAGGATGGTCTTATTCTTGATATTGGCTTGTCCACATTTCAAGATAAGTTCCCAAGCAGACTTCAGATTTGAAAATCCCCAAGTTACATAAGGCTCCACAATACGCAGCATTTTTAATCCTTGGGGGTTGACTTTGACAAAGACGCCTCTAAAATTTTTCTTCAGGCAAAGCCTTGCAGTGGTCCTCTGCATCAGTGAACTCACCCCATCAATCCTTTAGATATGTACAACAAAGGCTAAGGAGTGTTTATCTGCCAATTCCAAAGCATGAATTTTCACTTCTAGTCTTCTGAGATGCACACTGTCACATTTCTGCTGCCAGGAATCATATAGGAACAATTCCAATTGCTCACACCTGAGCCCTTTTCCTTTTCTCTGCTCCTTCTTTGCCAAAAGTGCCTGCTTTGCCTGGGTGGCTTTAAGAACTTGATAAACTTTCCTCTTTTTCAGGAGATTTTATGGAACCAAAGGGACTTTTCTTTGTTCTTGCTTTGCCATCTTTCTAGAGCTGCAGCTATTGATCTGGGTTGGCAGGTTCTAACAGAGAAAAATGAGAGCTTCTGAGTCTACAGATTTGACTGACATCCTAGCCAAAACTACCAGGAGTTTCTGGAGGTAAGCAGGAACTCACCATTAGCAAGTTCTCTAATGAGGGTACTCGGTAGAGTTCTCCTGTGGGAGATATTCATTTGTAAGGCTTCAGTCAGACCATGGCTCTCATGCAGAATAGGAAATTGCTAAGAATAGTATCTGAGAAGAGTCTTTGTCAGGAGCCTCTATGCTTCTGGGGTCCCGGTTACCTCGCCTAGGCAGGTGACTAGATCAGGTGACCTGGTCAGGTACCTTCCAATTCTATTCTTAGGTGCAATATTAGACCATCTCATTCATCCCATGAAAGACAGTGATATGGATTTGGAGTCAAAAGTCCCACAATTCTCATCCTGACTCTGGTGCTTACTAACTGGGTGATCTTGGGTAAGTCACTTACTGCCTCTAATTTTGTCTGTAAAATGGGGACAATAATATCTTTGAGATCCCACATGTGCACTATATAGTTTATAGTTTATAAACTATAAAGCACTATTCAAATGTTTCTGATTATTAATAGGTCATCATGGCTGTAATTTTTTTTAACTTCTCTTTAAATAAGTAAATGCTTATGGTTGATATCACAAAAAAATTATCATAGCTGATAGATTTGCTGTTAACTCCTCTCTGATGCCCTGTCACTGCCTCCTGACCTGTGGACCCAAGGAAGCTCAGTAGTAAATGCTGATCTCAGGGTGAGGCGGGTGGTCTAGGCTCTAGGAACATAGGGTGAGGCTATTTTGCCACCCATCAGAACATCTTCCGTGTTGCTTCTGTAATCTGACAGCAAACTCCCGAGAACCTCTTCCCCAGGTAATAAAATGACAGCAAATTGAAACCTTTATTTTTTTAGTACATTTCATATAAAGAAACAGACCCTCCAGTAATGAACAGTCATTTGTACAACTCCTCCAAAAATATGCTGATAAACTCACAAAGTTCTGTTATTGCTAAACACTGATTGCATTTCCTGGGGTGAGCACCATAAAAAAAAAAATTCATTGCCATTTTCAGAAACAAGATGCCCATTGCATTTTAATTGCTAGAGAGAAGAGACTTAACCAGGAAAATGCTAACTGGGCATAAACTCAGAAAGAGAGCTCCCCAAGTCAAAAGGCCCAGCTCGAAAACAAGGGCCAAGAAGGAGAGCTGGACCCTGGGGGAAACAACACCTTGCTCAAGGGAGCAGCAACTCAAGTGGTTCTCAGACTCCAGACCTTAGAGCATCCAGATGGCTAAGGCTTTCATTGCAGATTTAACAAATGTAAAGAATTAGACAAACACTTGCCAAAATTCTAGAGTAGAAGAGCAGGAATCAGCACTAAAGCTCCAAGAAACATGTATAGAAGAAAAGTTGTAATTCTATTCTATAATGTATATAGGATGTGTGTGTGTGTGTGTGTGAGAGAGACAGAGAGAGAGAGAGAGAGAGAGAGAGAGAGAGAGAGAGAGAGAGAGAGAGAAACTAGACAGAGATCACACATCATTTTAAGAACACCTTGGACCAGTTCACAGAACTGTCACCTTAAAACCAACACCTTAGACGGATTCCAACCTCCTTGTTTTCCAGTGTCCATGCAGGGCCAGCCAGGGTTGGGTGAGAACCGGAAGTGGGTAAAACCAATGTGAAATGGTGAGGATCCAGACTCCCAAGGGCTTAATCTGGGTTGGGCCTAGTCTTGACTCCATCTGCCCAGGAGCCTCTGAGCCAGGGAATCCTTTAGGAAGGTACTTAGCCCACCCAAGGACACAGGGAGAAGGCAGGCCTGGGGGCATCCCTGAGCACCCTCCCAATAGATGCAAACAGGGGCTGGGTAGGGGAGAGAGTAGGTGTACAGGCCTCCAGCTGCTTCCAGCTGCCTCTTCATCTCTAGCTCCTGCCTCTCTCCTCCTCCTCATTCCTCAACTCCTCCGCCATTCCCAACCCAGGCTCCCCTCCTGTCACTGATTCTCTCTTGGAAGAAAGAAGGACTCTGAAATCAGGGCCTGAGAGGAGAGGCCTGGTGGTCCAGCCGCTGGCCTTAGGGGGACACAGTCTCTGTCACGCAGGTAGGATATCCACACTTTCGGCATCAGAGGCTGCGGCTTCTCCTCCGTCTAGTTACTCCTCCACCTAGTGGACCTGCTGGAGACCCCAGGAAACATGAGGGTGGTGTGCAGTGAAGGGGAGGAGACAACAGGACCTAGAGGAGGGAGTCCTAGACTGAAAGAGAAAGGAGCCAGGCTCACAGCATGGCTCTATGACACACTGAAAAAGTAACATTTTTTTTTGAGTCAGGGTCTCACTGTCACCAGGCTGGAAGGCAGTGGCACAATCATGGCTCACTGCAGCCTCAACCTCCTGGGCTCAGGTGATCCTTCTGCCTTGGCCTCCTGAGTAGCCAGGACAACAGGTGGGCATCACCACACCTGGCTAAGTTTGTGGGGGGGGTTTGTTTTTGTTTTTGTAGAGATGAGATCTCGCTCGATTGCCTAGGCTGGTCTCAAACTCATAGGCTCAAGCAATCCTCCCACCTCAGCCTCCCAAAGCTCTGGAGTTGCAGTAAATCCTTTAACCATTCAGATCCTTGATTTTCACTTCTATCAAATGGGGCTAAAAAAACCTTTTTTTTGTTAGATGTGAACGAGAAGATAGACACATACATCTCCTGTAAACTCTAAAGTTTATCATCTGCCACTCACCCCGGAGCTCAACCTTGGAGTAAGTTGCTTCTCATTGTCACGCTCTGCATTTGTAAAATACTTCATACAAATCGTGTGTTTTGGTGTGTTTTGATACACATGCTCTCTCTTGGCCCTCCCATTGAACAACTTGCCCGGGATCACATAATAATTTACTTAGATGCGGAAACCAAACTGCTAAATGCAGTACTGTCTCCGCAGTGCAGGAAATGTGGCCACTAGTAACTACATTAGAGACCAGGCATGAATGATGAAAGGAGATTAACACTACAGAGTACTCACCCTAAGCCCAGCACTGGGTTAGGCATTGTAAGGGTCTTATCTCATTTAATCATCACAATAGCATATAAGGTAGCCACAATGATTATTATCAGGAAACAGGTTTACCAAGGTTAGGAACCTGCCAAAGCTCAAACAGGAAAGGGCAGATCTGGGATACATACTCATATCTATCCTTGCCCAGTTAATGTTTTTTTTCTTTCTTTCTTTCTTTTGAGTCAGTCTCACTCTTTTGCCCAGGAGTGCAGTGGCATGATTACCACTACCACAGCCTCAACCTGTGGGGCTCATGAGATCCTTCTGCCTCGGTCTTCCAAGTAGCTGGGACTCCAGGCATGTGCCACTACCCCCAGCTAATTTTTTAATTTATTATAGAGATGTGGTCTCTCCATGTTGCCCAGGCTGGTCTCGAACTCCTGGGTTCAGGCAGTCCTCTTGCCTCAGCCTCCCAAAGTGCCAGGATTACCGGCATGAGCCACCACACCCAGTCCAGTTAATGCTTAACTTAATAGATGTTCAGTGGATTCAATGTTATAAGCATCATTTCTTCCTCTGCCCCGTCTAGGGAACATTTCCTAATCCCCTTCCTGGCCCTCAGCAGTGCCTAGGCCTAGGGGTGAGGTTCACAACATCTGAGAAGCAAATCCTTTAGAAACTTCCCTGCCCAGCGTGCCCCCACACTCACCCAAGCAGTGTCGTGGATCCAGTCCAGGAACTCAGCTACCTTGGCGTAGACACCCGGGTGATTAGGTTCTGCGCAGCCACGACCCCAGCTGACCACCCCCACCAGGCGCCATGTGCCCCCATCTGGGCAAACCAAGGGGCCCCCGCTATCCCCCTGAGGAATCCAGGCATGGAGACACAGAGAAACAGCCAGTTAGTCCTCTAGTGCAGGAGCCCCAGACCTCCTTGGGGGCATGGTGGCTCCTCCCCAGACCCCTCCTACTTCCAGCTGGGACACCTGACCTCGCCCCTCTCTAATCCCTTGGCATGAGCTCCTAGGTGGCCTCCCTCCTACAGAGGCCTTCTCATGCCACCGACATTCAAACCAGGAGGCCAAGCCATAGCAGGCCCCCTACGCCCTCCCTCCAGCATGGGCCACACCTGGCATGCATCAGCCCTCCCGTCCAGGTAGCCGGCACACAGCATGCGGGCAGTGAGGGCTCCACTGTATACGCAGGAGCTGTTGCAGAGCTGGGTGCTGAGCAGGGGTGCCACCGTGTCCTGGAGCGTGTCTGAGCTGTGGGCTGCAGGGGACACCAAGAAAGGCTGCAGGGCACAGAGTAAGGCCCCAG